CTCAATTCACACCCTGGTCCTAAACCCACCCGCACCCCCTCCCCCACCCAAAATCAGCCTCCAAAGTTGTAGGGACCGAGCTTTGGTCCCCACCAAGTAGCAAAACCATGGGCGCACGCACGCACACACACACAAGTTTGCACAGCTATCTAATTGGGGACATTCCATTGACTTCCATTACATTTCTACATCCTAACCCTGACCACAACCACTAAGGCTAACCTCACAGGTACCTACCTGACCCTAAAACTAATCTAAACTCAATTCACACCTTGGTCCTAAACCCAAGCCCCAACCCACCAATGGCATTGAAAACAAATGGGGACTCGACTTTTGTTCCCAAATGTACCAGTTGTCCCCAAATGTAGGATTTTTGTCTTAAAATTGCCCCCAAATCTCACCAAAGCTGACCCCACCCCCATACACACACACACAATGTCCCGCCTTTGACTGATTCAAATTGCAAAAAGTAAAAGAATTAAAATAAATTTAAAAATGACTAATGTTGGTTGAATTTGCAACCATCAGATAAAACCTCCTTATTTCTTTGCAGAAGGAGAGAAAAAAGGAATGACATGAAGGCACAGACACGACCTCAGCTGTCAATCACAATGCTCTGCTGCTATGTTTAAAAATAAGTACATTAAAATTTGTTTAAATTTCTTAAAATAAATGTGAATCATTGTTACATGTAGTAATTGGATAAACATACACGCAGTGGTGTCTGCATGTATGTTTATGTTAATCATGTTTACAGTCAGAAGGTTGCCAGGTCAAATCCCGACCCAGGGACCTTTCTGGGTAGAACTGTCCAWGCTCTCCCCCCTCACATACTTCCCACTGCATCAGAGAGTAATTTTTATTTTCATGTTACTTGTTTTCATCTCTAAAACCATATTTTAAAATACAACTCTTTGTTCGGTTTAATGTAGGGCTGGGCGATAAAACTATAACCATATGTATTGGGATAAACACATGATCAATATTAATAAAAATACGTCCGATAGAATGTTGACAATTACACTGAACTCTGATCCACATGGCATTCTGGGGAATGTAGGCAGTAGAAAGGCTTTAGCTGCTCAACCTCTCACAGTCCAAATAAAAAAAAACGTTGGTGGCATTGACTAACACTCACTCTTTGGTCAGCTAGCAACAACCTGTTGGGTAATGTGCAGCAGCAGTTTCACATTTCACCGAGCCTCAGAAGTGCTTCAAAAAATATACGTATATGGACATGTAGTGAAAGAAAAAAATGAGTGAAACATAGGGTTGCAAATTGTCCTGTATTTTCAGCCAAAATTAAGTATCCGGTGTGGGACGCTCTTTTAGTATTTCAAGTGCAGCCTGCATGCAGAGGTGTCATGTTACAGCAGGCAGGCTAGCATTTGTATAACATATCGTGCTGAAGGAGGACCCTGAGGGATGGTACTGTACTGGCCAAATGCAACGTCTATAACACTGAGGGCATTGAAATGACTGTCGTACTCTCGCTACCCCCTTAAAGGGCCCCATGACAGGCGACAGCATCACAGACTGTAGCCGATTGATTAGCCTGTTTATCGAGTTTTAGCACAAGCTTCCTGTTAGCATGTTGATTCTGAAGTTTTGCAGTCAGAGCCGGTAAATTAATATTCTAACATGGTTGTTTAGTTCACTTTTGAACCTGCCTCTGGTCAGCTGCCCCGGTGCAGCAGGTGGAACAAAACATGCTGGAAGTATCGATCCAGTAACTTTAGCATCAATACGGTCTGAGAAACACAAAACATACACTCACCGGCCACTTTATTAGGTACACCACGCTAGTAACGGGTTGGACCCCCTTTTGCCTTCAGAACTGCCTCAATTCTTCATGGCATAGATT